AAAATTACAAAATATTCATGGAGAACACTTTTACTGTACAAAAATCCACTCAAATATGTAAGCTATAAAAAAAGAATTAAAAAAAAAAATTAATTAAAATAAATAATAAAAAAAAAAAATATAAGTATCAAATTATTTTAAAAAAACTGAAATCAAGAGGGGATAAAAATGTTGGTGAATATCTCAATATGACAAATCTCATTGTGTGGCGAGACCTCAAATATGAAATATGTGTGAAAGGGGCTTAAGTCTAAACCTACCCTGTGCTTTAATGAGTGTGTACTGGTCTTTAAGTTGTTGTATTTGTGAGGATTGTTCATTCAACTGCAGTTCACATGCTTTATGCTCTTTCTCAAGTGTTTTGTGTTTACTGCGAAGCTCATTCAGTTCAGCATCCTGAAAATTTTAATTAATGTCAAATATTAACAACACCATAACTAGGGTGTATAAAGAAAGATAATTTTATTTGCTTTCCAACACAAAATTTTTGCTTACAAGGCAAAAAAACAAAAACAAATCACAACCATTCAAAGTGTAAAGAAATACAAAGACACGCTTGCTTTCTCAGTTAAGGAATGATTTGTAAAGCAAACAATAACAATTTTAGTGACGAATCTAAAGGGCTGTCTCTTATACACATCTACCAATCATACTTGCCCATACTCCACCACAATATTAAAGGAAACCCCCAACCCTTTCCCCTTAGAAAATAAGGCCTTGAATGCCACTCATCTAACGTCATTAGAAAGACAAAGAATGTGTTAAGTTTAGAAATATATATCAGACCGAAAATACACGCACTATAACAGAATCGATTTTATACATTGTTAATACAAAGTAGATTCTAAAAATGTTAAATTAGAAAATCTGCTTTCAAGGACTTTTCAAGGACGAACATCAATATTCAAGAACTTTCAAGGGCTTTTGAAGCTGATTCTCAAATTCAAGGACATTAAAGTACTTTCTAAGGACCGTACGAACCCTTTTACTTTTGTCTGCGCGATTGAATAAATGACTCCATTTTACCTGCTCCCTTATGATTTCCTTGTATTGCATAACAATGTTGTCATGATCCTCTACTGTCTTTTTGCTCTCAGCATCATCAGATGAGCATACAGCTTTACAGAGACTTCCTATAGATAACAACAATACCAATAATAATATACAATACTATTAATATCAACATCCTAATACTGAATACAATATCCTCTACTTTCATCTTGCCCTCATCATCATTATCATCAGACAAGCATTCAGACTTGTAATGTACAGTAGTTGCATTTATATAGCGCTTTATACAGATGTCATTATACACTTATAATCAACAATGATGTAATTTCTCAACAACTTTACCTTCCAACTGTTTGTATAAAGATGTGAACTCATAGTCAATAAGTAAGTGCTCAGGTTGGCTGTAGCGTAGTTGAGGCTTCTGCGCTGCCAGCGTGTAACTCTCATGCTTTGTCACCGATTCTAATTTTTCTACCAACGATTCTAAACCAATACGTTTGGAAATTAAATTTCGAAGACTCTCCCTGTGAAGAATAAAAACTAACAAAATTTTAAAATCCGTATTTCATGAGCATGATCTAGCCAGCAAAGCTGACACATTGGGAGCTTAGGTGCTCTAAAATGAAATCTCTTTGTTAGGCTTCGGGAGTGAAGTTGATGTTTACTTGGGAGAAAAATACTAAAGTTGTTTTGCATGGAGTGAACCTAGTACCTTGGCAGTGAAAGGCAGGTATCTAACTACAAATTCATAATTCAGCTTCCCAATATAATGAATTTCTGTGCAAAAATAGTAAAAGAAAAAGAGGACACCACAAGAAAAATGTTAAAAAAATAGCAAATACTGTAAACTAAAATAATCGGTAAATATGAACCAAATTTACATGATTAACACTTTCCAATGGGGACTAAAAATTGAAAAATATTCACCAAGCTGTAGGTACACCAAAAATTTGCACCATTTGAAATTAAAAGTATTATTAACAAACACAATTTCTTTAACTTACTTTGTAAATGTTGTGTTTGAATTGTCATTAAAATGAACTGATATTCCCAACAGGAACGCACACAAACCCTGCACTAGTGCCTCTTGCTCATCAACATGCTCAGCAACTTGTGCCATAAGCTGATCATATCAATTCAGGAAATTAAAATAAATCACAGTAATATTAAAGATTTTTTTAAATAACTTATATCCAAATTCTGTAAGAAACCACAGTCAGGGTGGGGTAAATAATAATAATAATATCTCGAATTTGTATGGCGCCAATTCCAAATAAGATCAAAGGCGCAACACATGTGAAAAGCCATCGGAAAACAAATAGGTTTTAAGCTGTGTTTTAAGTTGTAAATAGAGTAGGAAGAAGTTATGTAATTTGGAAGTTGGTTCCAGAAATAGGCAGAAGCAAAAGTGTGGTTCCTTAATAGAATTTGGGCACAGGATTTATTGCACTAGATCAAGAAATGATGGTCCTTTAAAAGAGGTGGTATCTTGTAGGGATGTCACTATATAAAGTTTCCTAGTAAATAACACAACCTTAAATATTGTCTTAATATATTTTGAACCGATACATTTCAGAAGTGATTTAGCCTTCTTGGCTGCCATACAAATTTTACAAACAAATAAACATAGCAATGTAAACACCTTATAATGATCAATTAACCCTTTCCAGTCTGCCCTATTACCATTACCTGAGGCTGTACAAAATCTGAGAAATTACATCATCTACACTAAATGTTGGAATATTTCTGGGTGCAGGCATTTTATTTGGTCTGAATACAGGAGGCCCTCTACAGAAATACACCTACATCACTCTCAAACAATCCTATGCAGTGTTATCCCAATTAAAAAATTTTTACTGGTAAATCAGTAAGTAAGCTTGCCGAGCGCGCAGTGCGAGGCGCCAGCCCTGGGGGGGGGGGGGGGGGGGGGGTTTCGGGGCCCGCCTGAGGGCCCCGAAAGCTTTAGGGTACTATATGCTTAAGTATGGACAGCTGAGCATAGAGGCAGGTACATTTTAAAGTATTTGTGATGATTTTCTGAATAAACTTAATTTACAAACTGTGATGTTTTACAAACAAAAAGTAATAATAATATTAATAACGATGTACTCTGCTGCAGCCTATACACAGAGACCACACACTAAAGTTTAATTGCGCGAAGGATACAGTACCTAAAAATCGCTAGGAAAATAGGTGTGCGCGTAATCGTAATTGCTGCATAATTGCATTGGTTATATATTAAAGATCAAAGCCTAATTTTCGGCAAAATCTGAGCAGAAATCGGCCCTTTTGCAAGATGCGCAGACGGTTTCTAGGCCAAAATATTGCGCGAAGGAAAGGTCTACATTCCGCATGCAGACCATAAACTACTACTCTAAGCTAGTGATCCTTTTGCCCTAAAAATGCAAAAAGCGCCTGCCAAGGGCATGCCTCGCTGAAACTGAGATTAAAAAAGGCGCTAATTGATACGGTTTTATTATTATTAATTACAGCATTATCGTAGCCTTTCTACTTTGCATATCACTTGGGTTTTGGACAGTTATAG